CCCTTTTGCTTTCCCTTTCCCCCTTTTGCTTTCCCTTTCCCCCTTTTCCTCCTCTGTGGCTTCTCAGTGCCTGTGCCCTCAGTTTGCAGCCTGTTTGTGTGTTGTCCTGAGCCAAGCTTTCCCCTTTGAGATGATGGATGAACTGTGGGCTGGGGAGTATTCCCAGGAATACCCTGCATGAACTCTTAAAATACTTGATCCCTCTGAATATCTGCAACTCATATTTTCAGTGGCAAATGGATGATAAGGAAAGAATGTGGGAGAAAGCTGATAACAGATGTTCTTAGTCTTTGCTGAAACCCAAAGGTTAAAGGTGTGTGTGGCTCCCCTGCAGTTAATGAGCTTTAGGGTGGATGTGGGATCTTGGGAAGTGGGAGCTGTGTGGAAACTCCTCTCTTGGGTGCTTGGAGCAGGCTGGGAGGATCTGAACCCCAGTCTAGTGCTCCACTTGGATACCTGGAGTTTAACTCTTCATTCTGGCTGTGGCAGCTGAGATTTCTTTTCCCTTTACATTGATTATCAGGGTTATTTTTCACAAATGATCTTGAAGGTTTTCTTGAAGCAGTTCTTCAAACCTTATGAGTTTAGGGGGGGAACCTCTGTGGGCTGTTTCCTTCTTTATTTCTTTTGTGAAAACTTAATCCCTTGCACTGAAACAGAGTTAAAATTCTTTCTTGACATCCAAATTAGAAAAACTCCATGGCAGGAACTCCAGGAACTCCAGCAGTGGCAGCACATACTTCCTTTAATCTGGCATTTGCTGGAAACAGTGCCTTTTTATCTGGCAATATGAGACTAAAAGCTTACAGAAGAATGGTCCTGTTGTGTTTATTAAGGCTGGTAACACATGACCAAACAAATCTTGTTAAAAGATTTATCTGTCTGGCTTAAATAAGAAAAAGGAGCTCTTCTCCATATTTTTAGTTCCCCTCTGATGCCTTCCTGTTACGGTCTCATAGCATTTCTGGTGGACTTGCTTTCACATTATCTTTAAAACCTGACTCTTTAATTCTAGTTAAGAGGTTTAAGTACTTAATGTGGGAAGAGGTGGTATATGTGCCTTTTGCTCTGATAAAGGTCTCCAGGTGCCCAGCTGAAATCCCTGCAGGGCTGGGTGGGACAGGTCACTGCACTTTGGCCATCCCAGAGCTCCCAGTGCCCAGATCCCGCTGGAACTCACTGCTGGTGGGAACAGCACTGCCCTGCTCTCTGGGCTGGGCTGGGAGGATGGGAATTCGTGGCTGAACAAATGCTGAAACTTTTCATTTGAACTAGATTTAAAATGCTGGGGAACCTCCCCCCCCGAGCCAAGTGAATACAGGGTAATAAGTTGAAAATAGTGATTATGAACTTCTGCACTTCAGATTTTTAAATTGAGTTAAAGGTTAAATTGTGCCTGCTTGATTTCTCCAAAGATACTTTGGCAAGACCATCTTTTAGGTTCCACTTGAAAATGCAGAGGCAGGTCTAATAATATTCCTTATGACATCTCCTGTTCTCTGTCTCTGAGAGTGGAACAGAGACAGGTTTAGTGAGAGTCCAGCCTGACACCCGGGTGCTTTTGGGCTTGACTAGAGAAGGACTAGTTGAAAGTGCAGGTGTATCCTGTGCCCTGAGGGGTGGCTGGGAGCTCTGTGTGCTATTTTTGGAGTGATGCTGCTCTGGAGTTGCCTGTCAGAGAGGTGAGGGATGCAAAGGCCGTGTCAGGAATGCAGGGAACCCGGCAGGGCTTCGCTTTCCACTTCACTGGCGCTGAAGTTTTCCTGCAGAACTGCTGTGGGCAGGGGAGGGATCCTTGGGACTTGTCTGCAGTTGGTTCCACCTTAACTGTTCTGAGGGACTGCTGTGCAATGTTAAACACCTTTTCTGTACCAAAGGAGTGTTTGCAAGCACTTGATGTGCTTGGCATGTCATGGGAAGTGCTGCAGGGGCCAGTTCTGACCTGGTGAAGCACCTGCTTCTAGACCTCTCCTGAGACACTCAGTGCCAACTTTCCTCCATCCTGCCTGCCCCAGACTCAAAGCCAAGGTTCCTGGTCCCAGTTTGCTCTGTTCCTTCATCACTGAGCCTTTCAACAGGAATCAGCACACTTGAATGTGTCGGGAGGTCACCGGGATCTGCATTTTCTGCTACAAAGCAGAGAACAGAAAATTTCAGTGAGTAACTCTGCAAACGTGTTTTTGGCTCGCGTTTGATCTCTGAACAAATTCAGATAATAAAGACCTTTCAAGTCTGGTGGCACACAGGGTGGAGACTAAGGAAGCTCTCCCACAGGGGATGTAATAAACTTACTTGGAGAAGTGGACATATCCTGAGACTCTGGTTAAAAAATAACAACAACAACAAAGTCTCAGAGTGTGACTGCAGCGGTTTTTCCTCAGGTTTTTCAACTTGCATCGAGCAAATAATGGACAGGAGCTGTTCTCCCCCTCCTTTGCATGCCAGGCTCAGCTATTGTAAAGTGATTGTTCCCCTTTTAGCTCAAATGACTTCTTTCCGAGCTGAATTCCCTACGGAGGGAGCAGTAAACCGGTATCAAAGGCTGTTAATGCCCTTCAGCCCGTGGTGCTTAACCTGAATTTCTCCTCTGTAGTTTAATGACAGAAGCAGCTGCTTTGGTGGTGGTTTGGTACAGGGAGAACGAGGGACTGCCAGTGAATAAAATTACAGGAAACCCAAAGCCCAGAGCTTGCCAAAACCCAGATTTTCAGTGTATTTGCCTCTGTTGTCCTAATCCAGAGTCAAACATCTGTGTGATTGCTGGATGATGTATTACCCCAGTTTGCTTTAGACAACAAAAAAAGAAGGCTCAGAGTATTTTTGTGGGTTTTGTGCTGGTGTTTCCTTGGGTTCCACGTTCATTCAGAATTCCACGAGTGCCGAACCCACCACAGCATCTGGGAGTGAGGAGTGATGTTGAGTCAGCAGATACTTTTTCACAGTATTTCCATTTTGGTCCAGAGTGATTCAGCACCACATCGAGTCTGTAACATCCTCCTGTTCCAGGGTGGTTGGTGGGCGAGGGAAGAACTTGTGATATGAAACCCCAACGTTCCAGTTTAGATGATGTGTAAGAAACTTTCTGCTCTTCTGGTCGAAGGGATCCTTCCAGATATTGGGTGTGTCCTTTATCTATAAACAGCTCTTTGCTTTTGGTTTCTGGTGGTGGTAAATAAAGAGCAGGGGACAATGTTGTGTCTCACCATAAAAGCAAAATATACCTTGGAATCTTCAAAACATGTCTGGCTCATTGCTTAAATAATAAAGTTTCTTAATCAAATACTTCTTTGTGGTAATAATGGCTTAATCTTAATTAGGTGGCTGCTGATTAAACAATTTTTCTTTGCTCCTCTGGCAGCCCTGTATTGCTGTTACACAGTCGAGTTTGTGTAACATTATCTTTGCTCTGTTGTGTTTTTTCTTAGTCCTGTTGCAGCTGAATTTAAGGTTTTGGGATTGCTTTGTTCTTAGACAGAAGTAGTCATTGCTTCACGATGATGTTGGTTGAATCCTACAAAACTTTTGAAATTGAGCATTTAGAGTAAAATAGTCTTGGAAATGGGATGTATTTATGTGAGAAAGTTGAACAGTGCTCGTGATGAGATTGCATCACAAGGTAGGGCCTGATAAGATGAAGAGGCTGCCTCTGCTGTTCATAAATCCATTGGCTATGGAAATGACTTTTTATGGAATCTCCTGAAATGGGAGCTGGGAGGAGAAGTGGCCATTTGGCTATGTTTTAGCTGGAAATTTCACAGATGAACAGGCTGACTGTGCTCTACACTAATTATTGCCCAGCCCTCCAGTAAAGGAAATCATGCTGAACGTGGTGTTTATTTATTCAACGTTCCTCCTCTGTGCAAAAAAAAAAAAACCCAAAACACAAAAACCCAGGAAAAAATCCCCATTAATAATTGGACTTGTAATAAAAACACTGAAGTACTTTGTTTGGATTTAATCTGAGAGCAACAGCAAGGACTTAAAACCTGCAGCTGTGGGGGGGGTTAAGTCCTGCAGGGTTGGGGAGAACTGGAATCCATCAGTTGGGGATGTTTGGAGGCTTCTCCTGTGCCCCATGGCAGGGTCTGTGGAGGGGTTTTCTCTCTCCTGGCCAGTTGGTTTTGCCTCTGCCCATAAAAAGGGTCGATGGAGACAGAAAAGCAGAGCAAGAGGGGAAGTTGCATTTGGGGGGTGACTCCTGTAAAGTGATTTACAGGCACGGGGAGGTCACTGAGTTTGATGTGGTGTTGACTCTTGAACAGACTCCACTGGTGTAAAATGGTTCACTTGGAATTTGCTTTCCAAATAAAGCTTGGCCAGGAGCAGCCTGCACTGAGGGCCTGGCTGCTTTTTCCAGGGTTATTTGCACAACTTTCCTTCCTTGAGAGTTGTGGGTTATGAAGGGGAGCTCAGAATGCCTCAGATGCAGATAAAATTAATATGGATGAATTATCTGTCAGCTATTAATCAACTTTGGTTTATTTTTCCTTTGGATAGAGACTTTAAAATCATTTTTCCTTTATGTTCAGAACTGTGTGGGGTGGTTGGCACCTTCTTAAGTTTGGGGCTTCAAGGAAAAGCCCTGTAGCTGCCCAGGTTCAAACCTGCTCTTTCTGTCACGTGCCACCCATCCCCAATAATTCAATACTGTGGTGACTGATGGATTATTATTTTTTTTAATTGGAAATTATTTAGAGGCTAAAGAGACACATTTTGCACTTGCCAGAGAAAGGTGCTTGTGCTGGGCTTGGCTGTGCCACAAGAGGGGTGTGACCCTTTCACCAGAGTGATCTTTATATCAACAGCGAGAGGAATAAAACCCCAAGTTTGCTGCTGGGGAATTCCCTAACCTCTGGAAATGTAAGACATTTCTTATTGAATCCCTGTAGAGCTTTGCTATCACTATTACCTGCAACTTCTCTGGCAGTTGACAGGTTCATTGTGCTCTTCTCCACTGGAGTTTCATTGGATTCCCCCGGTGTGTTATCAGAGTGATGGCAGCTGCTATAACAGGGAAAGAAAACAGAATCATTTCCTACCTGAGCTGTTCATTCAGGAAATGCCTGAGAGATTCAAGGCACAGCCTGAATTGCATCAGCAAAAGCAATTTGTCTCTCTCTTTTGCTGTTTCCAGTGCTGGAGGTGGGAGTCGGCAGGGATGGGAATATCGTGGTCTGAGATTCCTGTCAGGCTGAAGGAATCTCAAGTGCAGGGGATCACTGACTGCTCAGCTGACTCCTGAAAGATGAAAATAGTCCTTTTCCTTCTCTAATGTGGTTTCAAAAGCTTAACACATGAACAATGAATCTTCTCAGGGCCCAGCCTTTGAGGCTGTAGCTTTTTCTACACAGTGGGTGAAGTTCTCATTGCTTCCTGGAAACTTAGGAATTAGATGTGGGTAAATTGGTGAATCGGGGGGAAAAAAGATAATTTACCTTTGTGTGTGGATACCCCCTTTTTGAAACACCTTCCTTTCAGGAAAGGTCCTATTTTTATGTATGGAAAAGCAGGGTTTGTTAGTGCACTTGTAACTCCTGCGGTTTGGTTCGGTTTCAATTAATTAATTCCTGTAATCTGTGGATTACAGGTTGGCTCTATTTTTGGAAAAGCAGGATAGGGGCAGGACTTCCTAACAGATTGCCCTGGAAGTGGCAGATGGCATCCTTTCCTCTGTCCCAGCTTTGTAGGGCATCCGTTGTGAGTGGTGTGGGGATGTAAAACAATCCAGCCATTTGCTGAACTCCTTCATTCGCTTCCAGTTGAGAGCTGGAGACTCCTCCTTTCTTGCACTTGTCCCTTCCTAAATCTTTTATGGAGGTTTTTTTTTCCCTTCCTGTTAGCTGCAGGTATAAAGTGATGTGTGTTCTCAGTGAGCACTTCCCATCCCAGAAGTTATTGCGTGTCTGTAGCGAACAGAAGGATTTATTTTTTAAGGAGCTGTGAGGATCTTTTTGAGGAGGGAAGTGGCTTCAAACATTTTACAGACACTGAAGTTATTATTTCTGTGAAGCCTTCAAAGAGCTGCTTTGTGTTTTACAATTCAGACCGAATTGCTTGGGGGATCGCGGGGGTTTGAATTTTTTATTTTGCAGAAATTGCGAGAATTTCAAATATTAACATGGGCTTTTCCCCTCTTTCTTTCCCGTCACCCCTTCAAGAACCTTTTTAAAACGCTGGGGTTGTTGGAGTGGTTGAATTTTTCCTGGCTTTGAGTGAGAAAATTCAGAAGACTGAAGCCCAGGCTCACTGTCTACCTTTCACGGAGGCCCAGCCGTGAGAGGACAGAAGAAGGCACGTGGCGAATCATGACAGCGGACAAGGAGAAAGACAAAGACAAAGAGAAGGACAGGGACAGAGACCGGGATAAGGAGCGGGACAAGAGGGACAAGGCGAGGGAGAGCGAGAACTCCCGGCCCCGGCGCAGCTGCACCTTGGAAGGAGGTGCCAAGAACTACGCGGAGAGCGACCACAGCGAGGATGAGGACAACGACAACAACAGTGCCACCACCGAGGAGTCCACCAAGAAGAGCAAAAAGAAACCCCCCAAGAAGAAATCCCGCTACGAGAGGACCGACAACGGGGAGATCACGTCCTTCATCACCGAGGACGATGTGGTGTACAGGCCTGGAGGTAAGAAATCCCTTCCCTGGGTTGTTTCCCTTTGGAAGTTCTCGTGCTCCCGAGCTGCCAGTTGGCTGCAGCAGCCAGCCCAGTGTGCTCCCTGCTAATTGAAATTATCCTTGCCCTGGGGGCAGGATGCAGCCTGTCCGAGGAGACAAAGGGGGCTGTGCATGCAGAAGCTTTCCAGTGTATCTTGTGATGTCTGATATCTTGTGATGTCTGATTGAGCTCCCCTTCAGGAGAGAGCCACCCTTTTTGCTTTCTGCTGTGTTAATAATTATCTGTGTGTCCTGTGGAATCTCTGTCCCTGGGAGTTTGGAAACTAAATTGGATAATGCACTAAAGGCTTTGCTCCCACTTTGGGAACAAACTGATCTGAGCTGGAGGTTTGACTGGGATGTGGAATGATCCTCAGACCTTTCTGGCGAGTTTGTCTGTGGATCTGTGATTGCTTTGTAAAGCTCCTCTGCTGTCTGCTGTGAAATATAAATCAGGTGACTCCACATCTCATCCCTGTTGTGCCACTGATTTCACCCCCCTCATTAACAGCTCAGCCTGTGCACTGCAGCTTTAGCAGTGCCAGCACCAGCAAGTGTCTGGGATGTTTTGGGCACAGAACCAGGAGCTTGGGGTGTGCTCTGCATGGCTTGGATGTGCCTCTGAACATCAGGTTTTTAGGGTCTCATGTAAGGTTTCAAGGTCTCACCTGTGGCTGCTGCCAGTTAACATTTTCCTCAACCTGTACTTGAAAATGAGATTATTCAGCCCTGCGTGTTCCTCACATTTTGAGTACAAACTCCTCTGTTCACCTGCACAGCATCTCAAAAATGTTGATTGCAGTTGTTTGTTCTCCCACAAGCAATAACTGTGTTTGGCTTCACTGTTGGCTGAAGGCTCCTGGTGGTTTTACATCCCTTTGCTGTGAAATGCTCAGCGTGCCACAGTGAGCAAAACAGAGATGGATCCAAACTGAAAACCTGGGGAACTCAGGAGGGCAAATCTCATTTTTCTGTGAGGTGCTGTGTGATAGCTCAGCTACAGAAATGTCACTGTGTGAGTACTGATGCCTAAAAGAAAACTCAGGGAGAAAAAACTCCAAGACAACTTAGTTTTGAAGGAGAGATAAGGAAAGGATTTAATTTGTGCCCAGGCATAGGGTTACAAGATGCTTCTGTTACAGATGTTATAATTTATAATATTCTCTGTCCAATCCCAGGTTTTTCCACCCCCTGGCTTTTGCCCTGGTCCTGCCCCTGGGGAATTGGGGCTGGGGTCTTTGAGACCCTTCTCTTCATCATCTTCATCTTCTTTGGGGTACAGGGGGCACATGGTTACCCAGGTCTTGACTGTACTCTTGTGGTTCAGGCCAGGATTAGATGTCCTCAAACAGAAGAGGCCTGTCTTAAAGAGAGACTAAACATTTCTAATGGAATTCAGGGGTATTGATATGGGGAATTGGGGTAAAAGGGTTGTAGTTACTATGCTAAGGGAATAAATGCTGCTGCTTCTAAAATCTACTTCTGCTGTATAACTACTTATAAAAATTAGAAAAATCAAAAAACTAGATGGACCTTAAGGCATCAGTACAGCTGGGAGTGTTTGAAGTGCTGTCCCCAGTTTTAGTGGCTGTGGGTGCTCCAAGGTGTGTGGGTCGAGGTGCTGAATTCCACACTCCTCCTTCCCCCTGGGAAGTCCAAGAGTCTGTTTTTCACTGTGCTCTCCCAACATCATTCAGAGCAGCTTATCTCTTGGAATGCTTCAGCTTCAATTTGGGCTCCTTTCATCCATCATTCCAAACCATTCCAGGAGCTGGTTTTCCCTGGTCAGGGCTCGTGGCTGGGGAATGTTTGTCGCTCGAGCAGCGGCAATGGGGAGCTGCAGAAGCTCTGGCTCTGCTGACAATCTTATTTTCGGTGTCAGAGGATGAAAAATAATTCAGAATCTGTGGAGAACAGCTGTTGTGTGGGCCCAGGAGTACAATGTGAGACACTGGCTTTATTGCAGAAAGAGCTGGCTCAAAAATAAGACGAAAAACCAGTTTGTGATCTCAATTTTACCCCATTGTAGCGGGATGGAGAAGTGGTTGGAGCTGATGTGGAGGAGGTTATTCACTGAAAGAACAGGGAGAGCCACAGTCCATGTGATAACTGGGGTATTTGTAACTGTTCTGTAATTTAAGAGTCTGCTTATTAAATTTTACATGATTAGTAATAATTAGGATAAGAGATGTGCCCCAGCACTGAAACTTTTCTGTTCAGTTTGCTCTTTGTGCTTTTGTAAAACTTTGTCTTGAAAAGTGCTGAGGGTGGTGAGAACAAACATTAGCTCAGTTCTGGAGGGACATGAGCTTAGGTGGAACCTTAACTGAATACACTGATTTTTAAATTCGATTTAAAAGGTAATTTCTCAACAGGATGAGATCTTGAATACACATTCCTGTGCTTAATTTATCCAAAAACCAGTTTTAGCATGTATTACAGAAGGAACTCTTACAGCTTGTTACACACAGGAAGATGTATTTGTAGCTAAGGGTGCAAATTACATAAATTTTAAGAGGGATTAGAGAGTTTAAATTAATGAGACACAGCAAGGATTAGAAAGATGAAAATTAAAGGTGTATGCAGCAGGGATAGCTGTCTTCATCTTACATCTCCTAGGCTTTAAGGAAAGGAAATCCTTTCCAGTCATTTGATTCTGTCCCTTAAATACTCTTATCTGATATGGATGAAAGTTAAAGGTCTGCATTTTCCTCCTGTGAAGTCCTTGCTTAAAATCTCATTCTGTGTTTACCCTGTTGCTGTACAGTACTTAATCCAGCACTTAATGCAGCTTTTTTTCCATGCTGAGCTCAGCAGCTGTATTGGAGCAATAGAAAACAAACTGTAAATAAATACATAATCAAGATAATTGGAATTTTTCCAAGTGAAAGGTGGCACTACATTGTTACTGTATAAATACTGCTCTTATTAATTTGCATGGATATAATGAATTCATGCACAGCTTTAAACAAGGTATTAAAAAGAACTGAGTAGGGCTTAGACAGCACTCTGCAATTAATCTTCTGTACTTTGCTGGGAATCACACAGGCCTATCCTAAAAGCTTGTTGGCCCAGTTCCCCATCTGTCCCCTCAGCTTCACAACCTCCCTCCCATTTCCTTCCAAATCTAATCTGGGGGGTTTTCCTGATTTCCCCCCCCCCCCCAACAGTTGTAACCTTGCCTTTGTCAAAATGCCTCTTGGAACATGAATTTTGGTTGCATGATGTATGTTCAGATTTGCTTTAGGCTTCCTTAGCACAATATATTTGCATCAAGACTAAGATTGTTGTGGGTTTGGTTGTTGTTTTTTTTTCCCTCCTCTTGGATTCAGTTGGATCACTTCATGCTGGTTTTCCTTGTGTTTTCAGTGCAGGTTGATTCCCTTCTATCCCACCAGCTCCTGCCAAAGTGCAGCAGGGTTTGCAAGGGTTGTTTTCCTGGGCAGTGTGGAGAACACACGGCCCCTCAAGTCCCCAAATCCACACCAAAAGCTTCCCCCCTGCCCTTTTTGGGTAAAGGGAAGAGAAGGAAAAAAAAAACAAAGAACCGAGAGTAACAGAATTAAAGCTATATATATATATATATTTTTTTTTTTACACTTATTTACAGTTACAAAAACACTGTATACATATAAGAAAAGAGAACCCCCCAAAACCAGAAAAACAGATATGCCCAACTAATAAAGAACTAACAAACCAAAATTTTGATACTTTCCTTAAGAAATCAGAACTGTGCCATCAGACTTCTCCCAAGTTGTGATGAAGCCTCCCAAGGCCTGCACAGGTCCTGCTTTTGATACCTGGTTAAGAGGATGCCTTGGGGCTGAGTGATGGGAGACAGCACTGTCAGGAACTTTAAATTTCTAAAATTTCCAGTGTAATGGAGGATGAGGAAGGTGCTGGTGATACTGTTCCAGGGAACCTTCTTTCCCCTCCCTCTTCACGAGGGCAACAACAAGCTTAAAATCTTACAAGAACCTGACATATGGAGGTATTTTTTTGTGTATCTTCAACCTGTCATTGGACATGGAGATTTCCTTTTCAGTAGCCCAATAAATTATGAAGTAAATGGATTAAGATGCCAGCAAAAATACACAGTAGAAATATCTGCATCAGAATAGTAGCTGGTTCTGTGGATAATGATTGCCTTGTTCTCTGAGCTCTTGAATACCTTTCTTACTTGGAGGAACCTCTGTGTGTCCCTGTCCCCTTTCACCCTCAGCCTGTTGAACACCTCAGGAAGGGATATTCTCATGTTAAAGTCACAGAATTTAGAACTGAGGGTGTTGTCACTGAGCAAACTTCTGTAGTGTCATTGTGGTGGCACCTCGAGTGCTGGACTGGAAAAACTTTGTTGGGTGGAAGTCTGGACTGATTTGGAGCTTCAGGAAAAAACCAGGTGACTTCATGTCCCCTGGAGCTGAGGACAATATTGTTTGCTTCGCCTACGTAGAAACATTTAAAAGGATCTGCAGGAATTAAAAGGATTTATGAGGATCTGTTTCTCCAGTGACATCAGTAGCTACATAAACAGCACCTGAACAAGAGGAATCAGCGTGAGGTAACACAAGGTGAAATGATCCCACATTTGCTGCTTTTCCAGCAAACTGCTTTGGAATAGCTTGTGTGAGAGCCTTGTTGTCCTGGAGTTTTAGGGTCTGTGTGAAGCTGGAAGAAGAGGTGCAGGGGGTTAGATGTGGGTAGTGCAGTTTGATACAGTGCAGGGAAAGAGGCAGAATGAGCTTTTTCATCAGACGGAATCACAGGATGGTTTGGGTTGGAAGGGACCTTAAAGATCATCCCATTCCAGCCTCCTGCCATGGGCACAAACACCTCCCACTCCTTCTGGGTATCCTGGAACATGTGACCTTGTATCTGAAAAACAGGAATGAGTTCCTTTGCCATTTAGAGATGTTTTAGGCTGTTTGGGACAGCTGTTGGACCAGCAGAGCAATATTATTTACTATGTCT